AAGGAGGGACTATATATATATATATATATATTAAGGTGCAGCGATTCCTTAGAAGTCAATTTGAATATTTTTCTCATAGTGAACCCAACAAAATCAACTCAATGATAAATTTAGCCATTCTTGAAGTTGGTTCATCGATTGCGACTATTAATAAAAAGTTGTAGCATAAACTCTTCAAATTGGATCAAAGTCGATTCTATAGATTTTATTGGGATCCAAAAGTATATTATTTAGTCTAGAAAACAAAAAAAATGATTTCAAATATCTTAAAAAAGGGAAATAATGTGCATGCCTACAGTTGAAGTCAGGCCTAAAGTGGGTTAGGCAGGCCACTTGGCTGGCTGGCTGTTGCCCATGGTGAATTGCTGATCGAGCAATGCATTAAATTTTTAATAAAAAAATAAAAAAAATGTGCTTATTAATAAATGAGCACATTTAGTCAAAAGCCAAAAAAAAAAAAAAAAAACTATTACAATTTTATTTTACAAATGTATAAATTTTTTTATTAATTTGTAATAATTTTTATAGCTCATAATATTATTTTTAAGTCTGAATATTCCCCTCTTACAAGTTTCAATATTTTCTACAAGAGTACATAATAGCCTTACAAAATAGAGTCATGAGCTTTCAATTTTCTCTGAAAACAGAGTGATCGTCTTTATTGAGAGCTCGAGTGCCACACAAAATTATGATTTGATCACAATAAACGTCGAACATCTAATCACCATGTAAGAAGAGTAGATATTTTGGATCTAATTTATGCTAAGGTAGAGGTAGACCTTAAAAATTTGGGCATATTGTATAAAAAAAATTATATTAATTTATTAGCATGAAGGGGTGATTTACATACAGGACACTCAAAACATTGCTATTTACAAATCAAGCGCCCTCTTTTAGCTATTTTTCAAATTCTCACTCAAATATCAATTGTCATGATAAAGTCCAATCCATATTTTTCATTTTGCTCCAATTCACAATGGTTTGATTGTGGCATGCGTACAAGAGGGTGCTTGATTTGTAAATACCTGTATGTAATTATCCCTAGAATTAAATAAAGGGGATAAAAGCTTGTTGTTTTCCGTTGTTGTCTTTATTTGAAGGAATTTAAATTAAAAATGAGTGGACTTCTCACTCCCTTGAAAAGATAATGAAGAAAATTTAGAAATCTATTTTTTTTTTCTTCCGAGGCTATTATACTAGCATCCAAACACTTCTAATATGCCTAATAATTTGAGTATCGTCTCCTCTTAAGACCAACTAGCCAGAGGAGATTCGAACCCCCGACCTGAGGTGTCTTATACTCTGGATGTCAACCTGTTACTTATTTGACATTTTAATTTTATTGTTTTAAAGTAAATTTAAATTTTTATCTATGTATTTTTTTCTCAATAATTTGGATTGATTTTTTTGTTGAATAATTATGCAAGTCTTTTTCAAATATTTTCACCATCAAATATTGTCATTTAATTTTTTTCTAAAAAAATCTTTTAAATGTGAAACAATACTACTAAAAAATAAATGTCAAAATAAAAATATTATTTTCTACAAATAATAAACAAATTAGCACAAATAAAATTTCCCTTCTTTTTAACTACCCCCACCAAACCTTCAATTGAGCTGCATTGGCGCTTTCTTCTTATTCTTCATTCACGTCGTTCATATGCGACGAAATCTGTCTTTCTCTGTGAAGAATGTGAAGAAGACGACGACACATAGAGCTTCCGTCGATTAGCTTCTCTATTAAGAAGCCCAATGGCGATGAGACTCGCTGTTCTCTAGGTTACGGGATCCTGGCGATCTATTGTGTTTCGGAGGCCGAGATCAGTCCCTCGCTCACGGCTAGTTGTGTGTCTGATTTCTGCGCTCCATTGAATCATTGGAGCTCCGCCTTTCTTAAGAGACTTCCATTTCCTGATTCGGGATTATTGAAGGTGCTTGGATTTGAATTTGATTGAAGTGCGTATGATTGTCGTTTTTCTTGGGAGCTTAAGACTAGATCTTTGACAATTTGAGCAGATTTGTATCTTTTGATCTCGATCTTTCCAAAGTTCTCATAGAAGCGAAGTATCTGGGGGCATAGTATTCTTTTGATGATCTGAAGTAAATCTGGGTCATTTCTTGTAATTTCGAGCTTTTGATTTACTTATAAGGAGAAAATTGAGGCGCCAGTTTTTATTAATTGATATCTCAATGGTTGTTGATTGCCGGAGCTTGATCGAATTCTGCAGGGATTTTGAGCAGCAGGCTGGTCAAAATGCCATGACTTCATCGGAGCAACGGTGCAGCTCCAGCCCGTTTCAAAAGACGAGGGGCAAATCCTTGAACCCTTTATCCCATCCCTTCTGCGAGCACTCTCCCTTTGCTGCCATCGATATTGTGATACTACTTCTGGCGCTTGGAGCGCTAGGGTTTCTCTCGGTTCCCTACTTCGAGTTAATCTTTCATGAAGCCTGCGAGCTGCTTCCTCTAACCTTCGAGCTGGTCGTGGAAGTCATTTATGAAACACCTGTAGCATATGCTGTCGGTCTGGTTGTGACATCGGCCGCACTGATTGCAGCATGGGAGATTATTGATTTTAAATCCAGAAAATGTGGGAATCCTGCCTGCAAAGGTCTGCGGAAATCAGTTGAGTTTGATATCCAGTTGGAGTCTGAAGAGTGTGTTAAGTTTTCCCCTCACGCGCTTAAGGAGACAGCATGCACGCTAGAATTAGGGCAGGATCATAAGGAACTGGAAGCTGAGCTGAGGAAGATGGCTCCTCCTAATGGCCGTACTGTGCTGATCTTTCGTTCACCTTGTGGGTGCCCCGCCGGCAGAATGGAGGTTTGGGGGCCTAAAAAAGTCCGCAGAATCAAGAAGTAGTTATATTTTGGCCCTGTTACTTGCAATCCAGTCTTCAATAGCGCCCAAATCTATACTGCGCCACAATATATTGTATTTTCTCTTACCTTTATACTATTTGTAAGCCACTTGGAATAACTGGGGATCATGGCTAAATTGGGGCATTTACACAGATAGCACACAATTCTTAAGCATTTACTTATCTCAGGTTCAAATTTTCATATTTTCACACAACACTCAAATTTTTAACATTACAAAAAAAATAGCACTATTACCACTTTTTAAAAGGCAAATACATCTTTTCATGCACAGGCTTGAAGCACCAAAGTGCTATTTATGTAGAGATGGAAGTTTAGATGTGAGGTATGCAAATACGTAAGAACTGTGTGCTACATATGTAAATTTCCCTAAATTTTAACTCCTTGGTAGCAATAAATGCCATATTCTGTAAACTTTTAGTCAATTGTTTTAAAATGCACTTTTTATGACAATCTCATATCATCGGGTGTCTCAACATATTCATATATGCTTGATTTGTTATATGTAGTTGTTTATATTTCTAGGTCAAGCTGGTTTGTGCCCATTTGTTACTTCCAAATAACTAATTAATGCATTGATGTGCCTTATGGTTGTAGAATGCTTCATTTTCCAGGTCGTGGATTGTGTTCTTACTTCTACGATCTTTAAACAACCACTTAATTTTCTCTTTATTTCTCTGTATGCTGTTCTGTTCCTCTTTTCTTGTCTCTCTCTATGTCTTGTTCTATATTTGAATTTTTATTTATTTATTTTGTTTGCAAGAACTAGGAACCTATTTTAGTCAGACCTTATCATATGTCTATATGTCTGGCTATTGTCGTATCTGTCTTTTATTTATTTCTTCATCTTTATATTTTCAATTATTCATTTTTTGGGCCCTTACTACGCCTAAACCTCTTGAACTTTTTTTTTGAAGACTTACTGTTTATTAAGTACATGGAGAGCCCATTTCAATTCCCTCTGAATTATACTTCATAGTTGACCTTCCTTATATTTGGCAGTTTAATTCAATTAGGGGCATTCTACCAAACTTTGTATTTTGTATTTCACTTATCTTTAGGCTGCCTGTTGCTTTTTTAGCCAATTTCATTTAGTTAATGTTGAATGTAGTAGGATTTCTAAATAATAAATGAAAGGAGCTTCGGATTCATCTATTAAATAAGAAAATATGACATGAAAAAAAGGAGTTCCATGGATTCATATGCTTAACATGGAAATGGGAGTACCATGGATTGGTTCCCTCCTCCCATTGGCCATAGGAAGTTTTGATTTTTAAAATTTTTTTATTTAGTATTTTCCAATTTTCTTTTAGCCAATTTTTTGTTTAAAAAATCCTCAAGGGATGAACAAAAGTTTTTTAGCCACTTCTTTTTAAATGTATTAGAGCAAGTTAAGGTCTTCTTCTTAAACTTTATTTTTTCTCTTTCATTCTTTTCTTTTTCAAACTTTCCTTCTATAAGTTTCAATCATCATGAATGATGAAAACTAAACTGAAGGAGAATTTTCAGGGTTATAAATCTTTTTTCTTTTGAACAGAAGAAATTACTTGGAAGTCCTTTATGGAAGAAATGAAAAAAAATATTATTTTGTTATTTCTTTTTCATATTTAGAAGACCCAAAGTTTGCATTTTAAGATGAAACAAATTTCATGATCATGTCATGGTTATGAGTACTATGATGCTTGAAATTATTAAATAATATATTTTCCTAACAGTTGCAAAAGATATCTGGGAAGCTGTCGAATAGATTTTCTCAGAAGTTAAAGTTGCTACTCTTATTTATGAAATCAAGGTGAGGCTATTGACATCCAAGCCAAATACCTACTTTTTATTAAATATTTCAATGCAATGAAGGTCGATTGGCTATAAACAAATTATTACTAAAATTTCAAGATGAAGTGTGATGATGATGTTATAATTTTCAAATAATTTGTGGAAAAAGAAATGATGTTTGAGTTTCTTGCATGACTCGATGATAAATTCTCTCAAGTTCATATGTAAATCTTGATCATTTCCTAAATGCGATCTTTCCACTCATTTGAATTGAAGAAAGAGGATGGTAATCCTTGACACTCTTTACTTAAAATATCAATTACCACATAACCTTAAGGAAAGGTAATGGCTGCCATTGGATCTTACCAAAAAAAAAAGGGACAAAAGCCTTTTCCTTAAAGAAACATGTGGTGCAAGTACTATAAGAAGGAGGGACTATTTATTGCTTCCCAAAAAGAAGGATAAAAGGGTGCTTGTTGCCACTTAATCTTTTATCATGTTTGATTTTTTGTATATGTATTTAATATTTAACTTTAATTTAGTTTGAATTAAAATGCAACCCAATGTTTTAGAAACAATGATTGAATCAATGGTATTCATTTTAACATATGACGAATTACATTTTAGTCAAGATTGCCTTTCTTCTCTCCATCTCTCTAATTTAGGTTCCATTTATGGATATTGTTGAGAATTGGACCTTATTTAGGGTCCTATTGGTAAAAAAAGAATATTGAAGAAATCTAGGGATTTATTTATAAAAACATTTTAATACCATATTTAAGCCCCATGTTATGAATGTACAAAATAAATTTCCAACAATTCTTTCTTTATGTTATAAGAACCCTAAACCCGCAGTGGTGCTGCTTGATCGTCGGAATCGGCGTGCATTGTTGGTGCTGCTCAATTAACGGAATCGGCATGCAGAGGCCCGAAACTCCGGTTTTCCTCTTCCTTCCGCTTCTTCATTGCGAAATAGTCACAATTAGAGCTAACTTGGACGACAACAAAAAGATTGCAGCGTGCGATACAGTCATGATTAGAGCTAACTGAGAAGGAAAGTATGAGATTGTGATAGACGCTCACAAGACGGGCGCAATTGCAATGACACAAGAAGTAGAAAAGCTCTCGAGTGTGCCCATAGGACCTAACTGATGATGCCTTCCACTACTGGATTGCGACAAAATGGTTTGAGTGGCTCGGTGCAGGGCAGGGTGAAGCATGTGTGAAACTAGAGCAGTGGAGAGAGAACTTTGGTTCTACATGCGTCAGAGGATGATGAAGGCTGGAGAATAGTTAGATTGAGGATGCCAGGAGGCGGAGATAATGCAGGAGGTAATGTTTTGGAGCTTTTGGGAAAGATAGATAATGAAATTCTAAAGGTCTTGGTCGTGCTCATACAGAGAGCTGGCGTCTCAATTGGAGTTGCTATCTCAGCACGTGCTCCAACACAGGAGAAGCTAGATCTCCCTTTTGTGGATTTGAAACTTGATGGACCAACCACATATATGAATTGGTCATGTTGGATCGGGGATGTTATAGTAGGGAAGAGATTAAAGAGATAACTGACGGAGATCGAGCCAAAGAGTGACAGTGTTGAGAGGATGAGTAGAGGGCCACACGTCTTGCTTTACAACTAACTACTCAATTAGATGGCTCCATTGATTGCCTCATTAGTATATGGCATTCAAATGGTAAGCAAAATCCGGGTGCAGCTGAAGATCTATTTTGGAGTTGATAACCATATGAGGGTGTTCCAGATTCAACATGAAATAGAGATAGTGGTTCAAGGTGATAGATCGATTCAGGAGTACTCCAAAGAGTGACAGTGCTGATACTGCATGTTTGTAGGGGACAACTTGGTCTATTGGAAGAGCAAGAAACAATTTGTAGTAGCGAGGTCAACAACAAAGGCAGAGTATAGGACCATGATCTTAGGAGTTGCTTAGTTGATGTGGTTGAGAGCCTTGTTGGTCAAGCTCAAGGTGGACCAAGGAACTCAAATGAAGTTTTGGTGCGACAACAAGTCAATAATCAGCATTGCCAACAACCCGGTGCAACACGATAGAACCAACCAAACATGAGAGGTTGATAGATTTTTCATCAAGGAAAAGCTGGATAACGGGCTATTGGAGCCAAGACATGTAGCCATAGGGGAGCAAGTGGTTGGCTGCCTCACTAAAGGGCTGTGTTAATTAGATTTATCTAGGTTATGCGATAAGATGGACTTATTGGATATCTTTTGCCTATCTTAAAGGGGAGTGTTGAGAATTGGACCCTATCAAGGGTCCTATTAGTAAAAGAAAATGTTGAAGAAGTCTAGAGATTTATTTGTAAAAACATTGTAATATCCTATTTAAGCCCATGTTATGAATGTACAAAGCAGTTTCGAACAATTCTTTCTTTAGATATTTTTCTCTTTTCTCTCCAACGGAAATCTCTTATGGTTGATTGTTATTCCTCTATATGATGTTCTCTCCTATACAACTTATGCATTTGAGTGCTACATATGACTGCTCTTTATTTCTCTTACTCTGAAAGCTCAAAATTCGGATAACTATTCCTACTGAAGTACAGGTCTTGAGACTCTCTCTCCCTCCCATGAAAACTCCTAATTTTGATCCCCTTTTACTTGTGAAAGGAAGAAATCTGCTGATTTCAAAGAAAGAATAAAATAATTCAATAAATAAACTATTAACTAAGGGCCATCAATAAATTCAAATTAAATCAAATCTCTTCTACATCAGCTACATCTACGAAGATGTACAAGGTGCTCTTTGAGTGTGTTTCCATGAAGGAGGTGCTCATGAAACATAGTGATTTCTTCTCTTGTTTCCCAGGCAAATCCAATTAAGATGTCATATTTTTGGAAAGCAAAGCAAATGAAAAGATCCAATTGATGCCTAAATTATCTAACAAGAGAAGGCGGCTGATAGAATTAATGTTAATAAACATCAAAATTTTAAGAATAACATAATTAACAAAACAAACAACAGTTTATGTACTTCATTGAAATTTTTATTACATTCTGTTTAAATAAAATGACCCAAACAACCCTTGATAAAAAATACATCCTAGCGCATGAAGCCCCCAACCAAAACAGCCCTTGTACCTTGGTCATAATTTTAAACAAATTCTTTCATTGCTTGAGGCGTTTCGTAATCTCCATTTATTAACTTTCTTGGTAAAGGCGATGGATAGGAATCCAACATGCATGCTGTATCTTTTGATATCATGCTAGACATTGCAGTACTACTGAGAAGCTGAAAGTGATTTAGGGGTTGTTGGGATTTTTGCAAAAGGAGTGCACTTTATTTATTTTGTAGAAGTTTCAGAATTTGGCAATGTGATTTGATGAACTTAAAATGCAATGTAAAATTATAATGCATTTGAAATTCATGATCTAGTTTAATT